AAGTGCCCGCCAATCTTTGCCATTTAAAAATTCAAAAAAAACTCATATTCATTTAAATATAACTTGTTGGACCAAAATTTACGTATCTTTTTTAAAATCGGACATTCTGCTATAAAAGGGTACACGTTTCATCCCGGTTGAGATTGAACATACATAAATTTAATTTTCCATATAGAGTTAACTTTTTATTAGACGACCCCCTTTATTTGTAAAAAAATGTTTTTAGGGATGATTACGAATAAAAGAAATATATCCACCATTTTCCAATATGGCCACCAACTTTGTTATTTCTCATGGAATACGCTGTATTTTAGTATTCTTTTAGAATTTAAAAGCTATTTTTTATTCGTGAAATTTTTTCTCTAAACCTACCCCATTTAGGAGTTACAGCCTGTTATATCTAAAAGAAAGGCTTGTGGTGTACATTCGGCATCCTGTAGCTCATAAACGAGTAAGTTGAGAGAGAAAGTGCAAAGAATAAATAAGTCACATATAAGTCCTCGTTCAAAAAAATATATAAAATACGTTAAAAAATACTGATTTTGTTGTTTTAAAAATGGTCACCATTTTCAAAAATGGTAGCTTACTTTAATATTGGAACAATTTATTTTATGGTTTTTTTATGTACATGTGATTTGAAAACTTGTTTATTCTTTGTATTTTCGCTCTTAAACTTACTCGTTTATGAGCTACAGGATGCAGGATGTACTCACAAAGCATTTCTTCTTCGATGTAACTCCTAAACAAGTAGCTTTAGAGAAAAATGTCAAGAATAAAAAGGTTTAAAAATTGAGCGTTTACATTCTAAAACAATCATAAAATACAGGGTATTCCATAGGACTAACAAAGTTGTCAGCCATATTGGAAAATGGCGAACATATTTTTAAAATTCGAAACCACTAAAAAAACATCTTAAAATAAAGGGTAGTGTCCCATAAGAAGTTAACTCTATATCTCATAATAAAAAAATTATCTATTGGTTCACTTTAGGTGAGACACCCTGTATAATAAAATGAGGCTCTGGCGTACAGCAGCAAATGCACGATATTCATTCATATGTATCCACTATAGTCTGTATATGTACTGAATAAGCTACATAACGTTAATATAATCTATATAAAGCGGCAAATTCAAATACAAAAACCATAATATACGTAATTGTTACATTGTTGCGGTGCACAAAAAAGCCAGAGTCCTGTAAAATCAATGTACTATCTATAACCACTATATGCAAACAAACTGTTAATAACTATGTATCATTTTAAAATGTAAACTATGCACCCCAAATTTTGTATCAAACATTTTGTTGTGCGACCTCGTATAAAAAATCTACAAAGAAAAGTTTCATAAATTAATCCATAAAAATTACTTTTTTATGTTTATGATATTTTTTAACTATGAATATTTAGGATACCATGGTAAATACACTTTTTGTAGAGTATCGTAACGCAAAATGATTAATTAAAGATTGCGTTACTATCCTTACCCGTTTTAAAGTTATAGCTTAATTTCTAAGAGACTGTAAATTTATCTAAAAGGGGGGGTAGAGGAAAGCACAAAGGGGTAGGAGTGGGGACTTTTGGGAAAATGATCATCTCAACATGGTCTAACAGCATAGAAAAATACAGCTTTCCCATAGTTACTTACAACATCAAACCTATATTGACTGTGGGCTACGTACCATCCATGCGCGCCTCGATACTACTACGAATTTTCCACGTTTACTCTTACTGAAATCAACGTAGCTCTGTTGTTTTTGCACAGATTTGTTTAAACTTGGTGCTGTTGTACTACTTGTTAGTTTTTCTAACCATAAATAGTTTGTAACATGCCCTAAACAAGCGCAATATTTCCGATATTTCATTTTAAAGTATTTTTATATTTTATTATTTGCAATAAATGTTGATTAGCGCCTAAAGTATAAAAGATAGAAGAAAGGTTGTAATAACCTTTTTGAAGGACAATATATTTAGGCGTAGATAGACGCTTAATTCACCTTTCTATCATTAACCGTTTGTGAGTAAGACGCGGAAACGTAAACCGGTGACCCGCGCAACTTCCCCCCTCCCCCCCGAGTTGTGACCACCCTAGAAATGCGACATCATCGATTTTTTTCATCTACTAGATGTCCCCAACAATAATCAAAAGTCAAATTTTGTCAGACTTTCAGTGCATACTCAACCCGTTTAGCGCCTGGACTATTGACACTGTGCGACTTAAGCAAAGCTTTTGATTGTATATCTCACAGCATCTTGACAGGGAAACTTGAACGTTACGGGGTGGGGGGCGTTGCTCTCTTTTCCATTAAGTCCTACCTGGAAAATAGGCAGCAAGTGATATCACTTAGCGGTGCTCAGTCTAAACCTTTGCCAATCCAACATGGCGTTCCTCAGGGATCGGTACTGGGACCAATTCTATTTCTGGTCTCAATCAATGACCTTGACTTGAGTGGCTCAGCACTAAGATTTGCAGACGACACTACAATTTTGTCAACAGGATCTACTCCTGCTCAAGCTCTCGACAACGCAGAAATTCTTTTCGAGGAAGCCAAGACATGGTTCTCAGCCAATAAATTCAAGCTGAACGAGGGTAAGACAAAAAAGATCGTGTGCACCTTAACTAGACATCCTCAGATTGAAACTAAAGTTAATCTGCTTGGTTTCACGATTGACCTCAAACTGACATGGTCTGAGCATATTGAAGTTGTATGCAGAAGGTTATCGAGAGTTGTGTGTCTGCTAAGAAAGCTGTCTTAAGCTGGTAACACCACAATACTTACTGGTCGTCTATCACGCCCTCTTCCATAGCGTGCTAAGCTACGGCCTGCTGCTTTGGGGGCATGCGCCTAACTGCCATGAAGTTCTTCTAGAGCAAAAGAAGGCTATCAGGATAATAACGTTTAGAAAACGACTGGACCACTGCAAGCCTCTTTTTATAGAAACCAAAATTTTAACAGTTTACAGCCACTTTGTTCTCCTATGTGCATCATATGTAAAAAACAACATTCAAAATTTTCCGACCAGAAATACAGTCCATACGTACAGAACAAGACATAATCAGGAAATAGACCTTCCCTTTTGCAGGCTCTCTAAAACTAAAAATGCTTTCCCGACCATAGCGCTCAAGATTTACAACAATTTGCCCCAAGAAATCAAGAACCTCGAAACAAGGAAGTTTGACAAAGTGTTGAAGGCATGGCTAGTAGGAAGGCCACTCTATAGCCTGGATGAGTTTTTTAAAAACTAAACCGAAACTAAATTGAGGCTACATCCACCGCCATAAGTTACGTGTACATATATGTAAATAGTAAGATACAAGCGTATCAGTCAGTATTTTATTTTATTTTATTAATTCTAATTGACACAACCTATCCGGCATTGCTGGTCTTGGTGAAGAAGAAGGTAATAAGGTAATAAGGTAACAATCCAACTAGCTGCTTTACGCATATACTATAATTTGTATTCCTTTGATTGCAGGTTTTTTGGTGTCCGTTGTTATTTTTTTCATATTCAACAGGATGTACGTAAACAAAACTATATACGTGACCTAAACGAATTCTTCAAAATTATATTATTACTCTAATGTGTAGGAGTGTTATATTTGTCTCGTTTTTCTTTGCTAGAGGATTTGAATTGTGTGTGTTTTAGTGTACAGCTTTAAATTTGAATACGATTTATTTTATGTAGATTATATTCGTTCATCGTCGTTAAAAGTTGTAAACTGAAAAGTACTGCTATTCGATCCTTTCACTATTAAAAATTACAGTCTTACTCTAAGACTAGTTTTTTTAAAGAATGTTGATATTTCATGAAGGTTTAGACACAAATAGCCTCAGCATTGGGTTCTTCTGAAGTTTACTATTTGAATAGTCAACCTTTTAATATATTTGTCGAACATTTAAATCTACAGTTTTTTAAAAATGGGGTTTTCTAATTTTTTACCCTTTAAACACAACATTTATCAATTTGTATCCAGACCCTTTTTAAGAGCTTAAAAAAACAAATAATTTAGTATATCAAAGTGTTTTTGATTGGTGATAGGTTACGGAGAAAATTCAAAAAAATATGGAGAATATTGTAAAATGTTGTAGTTGGCTTGTTTATGGATATATTTTGATCAAACTTGGCGGACTTATTTATTTCATACTAAGCTATTGATATTTTAATATAAAAAACCACACTTTATTAGTTTCCCTGTAGCAGCTAACCTAGGTAATCGTTACACATAAATGTTAATTTAATAGCTTAATTGAAAATCAATCCAGGCAAATGGAAACTCGCTTCGTTGGCAGGTTTGCTGCAGCGGGGGTATTATTTTCCGAGTTAGGTTAGCGAAAAATATCTCCGCTCTTACCCCCGGTTAGCTCTTCTACCCGATTTTTGTGCATTCTGCAAATAAATGTATTTTTATATTATTATAGTTTAGCAATTTCTCAGTCAATTTGAAAATAAAATAAAGGCTTTCCACTCAAGGGGCTGATTGATTGGTTATTGTTAATGACGCTACATTTATATGCATTAAGGAAATTAGATGACGCATAATTATTAGTAATACGAGATTTTCAATTACAAATACGATTAGTAAAGCGTTTCATATTCAAATTCATAAATAAAAACCATTACACAAATCGAAGTAAAACATATTTAAATCTAATCCAAACAACCTTCCGTCAGAAACATACAGAAATGCGTAAAATATCTCACAAGAATGAAAATAAAAAAAGATTGCGTCAAACGTTAAGTTGTTTAACTCCGTGAAGTCGAAAGTGGCACAGACTCACAAGCTTCCCTTTCTAGAAATAACACTCATTTACACAGACAAACACAATGTTGACAGTGGTAATGGGTGGCAATGGGGGGTCTTAACGTTGTAATCGTTGCCCTCTCCTACAATTTCATTACTTAACCTACCTCCCCCAATACCCCAGAGATGGGGTGTATTTGGGGGCAACTTTTGGGCGCATGCTCTCACAAAGCCGCTCGTTCTGGTTCAGTGTGTGTCTAAATTTCCGTCGGGCTGATTGCAGGTAGATGCAGGCATTTCGGTCATACATGCACACTCTCTACGAATGTGAGTAAAATTTTTTTTAATAGCTCTATAACTCTTTTAATAGTTTACTAGTACATTCAACAATCAAATGTAGAATTGGCGGTTTTAAATCTTTTTAAAAACTTTGATAGTTAGACATTTGTGTGAGTTTTGTGGTCTTTATTATGTTTTATGAAAGTAAAAATTAATATTAACGCTCTACTGTTTTGAAAAAGTTTGTTTTCATTAATCTAAAAAAATAAACAAGATTAAAAACTGGTAAAACTATATTTGAAACAATAACTTAAATTATCTGCGGCATCGAATTACGGAAATATTTTTTTTTTTAATAAATACATAGTTAAAAGGTTTTACGGATAATGTTGAATTGAAATAGTTAAATTGATTAGTCTAATTACCAACATTTATTATTAATAAATTATACTAACTTAGTAGTAGTATCTAAGTAGTAGTAGTAGTAGTATTAGTAGTAGTAGTATTTAAGTCGATATTTTGCAATCGACTTAAAAAACCTATTAGGGCTATGTTATTAATCCCATATAGAACCAAATATAAACCAGTAATGTATATCATTAAGTATCTGGGTATAAACAAATGAAATAGGTAATTATTTTTTTATTTCTAATAAATATTATTTTTTTTATTATATAATATGGTAAGAACCATTGAAAATACGATCAATTCTGCCCAATTATAAAATATAAACTGCAACTAGTCAAAGTTGTCAAAGATAAAAAATGTTAGTTTTATTTCCACTTATTTGTGCAACCCCTCAATGTTTGAGTAGTTCCCTAATTGTATAGGGCTTGTAGCTTCTAGCTTGATTGGAGGGAAAGTCTATTATTGGGGTGGTGAACCCAACCTCGATGCGGTATGGTTTCAATTTGTAGGACTGGCACAAAAGGAACTCATTGTAAAAACTAACCAAAGTTATTTAAATTTATGCATCACTATTTCATCTTAATTGTCTCATAGATTACTTAACATCTGGTTTCAACAGCATATTGTCAAACGATGGAAAAGGGCACAATAAAACCCGATCTTTAATAAACTCACCACAGTTTATCTTTTTGCAAAGTGCACTTTATGCAGAATATAAAGTGTATACTCTAGGTAAAACATAAACAATATAGTTCACTGAAGTTTACAATTAAAACTGTAATGATACATTATGTATGAAATATTTACCTTTCTGTGCTTTTTAAAATTAGTGAAAAAACTTACTGTGATGATGTTGAATATTTTATAATAATTGTATTGATTCATATTATCTTAACCTATTGAATTTGAAGGCTAGTTGTCACTCGGAACATTTTTAATACACAAACACATTGATTTATATAAGTAAATAAATTAAATGAATACATGCATTTGACGTAAATGTACTTTATGTACGTATCAATCAGATGCTAATACAAGGTGACAAAAAATCTGGAAACGGCTTAATATCTTTTTAACTAAATCCATTAGAAAACTCAAACTTTCCACATCAACTTATATGTATAAAAACTACTTTTTGCAAGCACTACAATTTTTTTACCATCGCCAGGGGACGACCCATGAAGAGTAGGTACATAATGTTTAATGTAAGAATAGGTTGATATGCGTATCATTTTAAAGGGCTAATCAAATGGCGTTCATTCCCGGAAACCGCGTCTCAAAAGGTCCATCTGTTACTAAATGGCGGCTGTCCAAAGTTCTTGTGGAATATACCTGCACAGGCCATAGTATTGGTAAATACTTGTATTCAACATTAGCTTGAGAGCTTAAATTGTATTTTCAAGTCAACTAGCTCGTAGACTAATATTATTCAATCTTCAAAACAAATTTAACCGGGTTTCCGGCAACGAACTCCATTTGACCAGCCCTCTAAAATGATGTGTATATCAACATATGCTTACATGAAAGATTATGTACCTACTCCTCATGGGCCGTCCCCTGGTGAAGGTCAAAAAATGGTAATGCAAAAAAATTAGTTTTCATATATATAAGTTGATGTGTAAAGTTTGAATTTCCTAACGGATTTAGTTTAAACGATATTAACCCGTTTCCAGACTTTTTGTTACCCTGTATATAATAAACATGAAATACTACTCATGTTAATAATTTTCAGAAAATTACTCAACCACTTAATTCCATGGCATATTGATAGTAATAATAAGTTTTCTTTTTAAATGTTTTTCACCATTGGACGGTTTAGCAATGATAATAAATACTTTGTAAAATGGATATTTGTTTGTTTTAAAGCAGTTGATATTACACGATACATTGATGGTACGATTACAAATTCAAGCAAAGCGAAATGGGTTGGGCACAAATGAAATCAATGGACCGTGCTTTTTGAAATACAATTCAAAGTTTTAAAGGCAATACTGCTTCATGTTTGCAATTACAACTTTATTTCATTGATATTATCCATCATTTTTATCTATAGTTTTAATTGTGCTAAATAAGTATTTAATATTTTCACAATAGGTAATTAAATAAATAAAAAACTTAGTAATAAATGTTCCTACACAAAACGAGTATACACCTTTATTGACTAGATTTTGTTTTGCTTTATTTTTTAAAAAAAGTGTAGCTATTATTGTATTTTTAAATTAGCTGAATGTTAAGATATGTGCTAAACGTACGTGCGTATTTTTATTATAGTTAAACACGATTTCATATTGTTCATATGAAATTCACATATCATATAATACACATACGCAAAAAACTATTAAAAGCTTCTTCAATGTCATTAAGGTTGTAAACAATTAATTTAACATGTAATAAGTTTTACATTTTACATTTAAGGCAAGACATTACCACACAATACAAATGAATGATAATATTTTATTTTATTTTTCAATGTCCTTCCCTGCATTTGTTTTAAAACTCCTCTCCCATTTCTAAAATATAAAAACCATCCAGTTTCATAAAAAGGGCCTACAACTTTTGTAATAAGCTAAGCTTTGCTGCAGAAACTAAAATTTAATCAATGCCGTTATGAAGTAACAGAGAAAATTACCTGACATGTTGAGCAGAGGAAAGAGTTTTTATGTAAATTTATGCGGTGTTTTCTCAGGCTTGTTCTGTTCTAGATGTTTTTTTTTGCAACATGGTTGAGTTGAGTTTCCATTACAACATCTCCAAATATATTAGGGGAACCTTTAGATCAAAATGCAAATGTGTAAATAAATTAGAATTTTATTAAGTATTAAATAAAAACGTATTTTTCCTAAAGATATTTCTACAGTATAATAACCTCGTAGGTATGCGCCTCTTTTGTAATATACGCTATTAGTAACTATTTATGTAGGTATGTTTCGGTAAAATCTTTTAACTCGCTTTAGTAATATTTATATACATAGATTTCATAAAGGGGCTCCAAAGGTTATTGATAGATCATATTAGGCTTTTAAGTAGTTTAAAAGGTCACATGCAGCTTTTTCAGATTTATTTTGTTTGATTTATAGTATATCGTATCTGATTTGCAGAATTGGAAAAAAACTATTTTAATAAAGAACACGAAAATATTCATTTTGTATTTTAATTCTACAAATTATGAATGGGAAGTACACAACCACTACTAAAATACCGGTACTGCTGATTCATTTACTTTTCCATAAACGATACCACTAATAGTTAATGTAAATCATTTAAAATATATTAATTTATGTGGTAAAACAACTAATTCCAATAATTAATTGTGATTGATTTACCTTCCTAATTGGAGGTACATTTATTTGACTTTTTATTTGACATTGAGTTACTAACAATAGTGTTGGTTAATCGTAGTTAAATAAACGATTAGAATTACACGACTTAAATACACTCTAAGTTATATATTCCCCTAAACCAAACTATCTGCTTATATACTTTTTATAGAAAGCAGGCAGTGTATTTAAATATAGGTTTTTTGTTTCTTTAGTTGTAGTTAGCACCTTTTATCAAATTGCACGGACTGCTTAGAAAGTACAATGAGAAAGCAGGCTATGCATTTATCGTATTTAGTGATGGGTTTGCATTCATTCGATTGTTTTAGTGATCCTTTTGTTATTTTCCATTATTTTATCAAACTATCTAATGAAACAAGCAATAAAGAAAATTCAAATGAAAAGCATTAAGAAGTATTTAATTTCCATTAAATATCTAAGAATCATGACCCACTACTTTGAGGTTCTCATCAAACAGTTATTTCAAAAGAATTTTGATATTAATTTTCAAAATCCTATCAATAAATTAAATTTCAGCTACAATCACATATAGTTTAATAAAATGTCAACACTTTACGAACAACATCTGACTGCCGAGATGTATTCGAGGTCTGCTAAGAAGAATTTTAAAGTATATTTCTACTTGTTTAATGTAGAGTGCGTTTTATTGTTTAAAATCTATTTCTGCACTGTGAGGAATAACAAAATAATTTATGTAAATATATAAGTCTATTGGTTGACTACAGTTTGTTTGGTGGAATTAGAACCACACACTGTACATACCTTTGAATGAGATACAAACATTGTTTCATCATCATTGCCCTTTAGGCTTACCAGTCATCGAACACACACCAAAACATGCCTCAGAATTCACAGTAGAATGATAATTCCATTATCTAAATCGGCAATAAAATGATCTGTTAACCCCTTAAACTTTATTCACAGTCATATAAATAGTTTTTGAAGAAGTATTTTACTTTAAAATTGAATGAAAAACATCAAATCAGGTTAATTACCATGGTAAATCTTTTCATTGGTAATTATATGCCATTTCGGACCAATGAGGTTCAAGGATTTAGTAAAAAAGTAAAATTGTAATGCTTCGAACATCGTTTTATCAGCTGTTGAGACCAATTAAATTGTATGAGTGGTCGATACAATGAGTTGTTGCATCACTGTCAGTGGCAAGGAGAGGCTATAAACGAAAACATACACTCTCTTAGAAGTTATAAGTAGTGAATGTTAGTAATTAAAACACGGTTGTAGGTAATAGTAGTTTACGCAACGATTGCGTAGAATCAAAAATCAATCAAGAATGTTTAT